AACTAAAATAACAATACAAAGTCTTACCCAAACTCTCAAAGAAGCTAAAGAGTTTATAACAATATGGACAAATACAGCATTGAAATCGCTTTTTTGAAAATATATGGAAAAAATACTGTGAAGCAGTTACTAAATAGAAAAAAACAAATGGAATTAGCTTCGCAGACAAGAAAAAGAAAGATAACAATCCAAGAAGTAATACAGTTAAAAATGTGATAAAAAGAATGAATAGTAGAGGTTTAGAGAAGAACCAAGGCTGAGCTATAAAAGAAAAGAAAAAAAAAGAAGAAGAAAAAATACAAAGTTCTTGGTTTAGTTCGATTAGGAATTATATAGAAAGGAAAATAAGACCATTTTTTTATGGTTTTAATTGCTAGCTTAGTATAGCCCTCTGGCCAAACCACTGTCTGGCCAGTGCGGCAGACTGCTTCTGAGCATTCATAAAAGCAGCCAGGGAATGTCGAGTTAGAATTTAAGCCAACTTTGTACAAATTATGTATATAAGACTCTTAATAAAGGTGATCGGCAAGGCTGTCAAAGATTAAAAAAAAAAAAATATTTATATAAGAGCCAGAAATAACTAGTATAAGGATGACAATCTTAAAATAATGGTTGGATTGTCATCTTTCAAGTGGCAGATTTAAGGTTCAAATCCCACCTATGATGAAATTTGTAAATTAACTTGTGTTATAGCAAACTGTCTCTTGATGATTAGTTGAATTTGTGTATCTGTAACCTTAAGTCACACCATTTCAAATAAGAGCTTGGGGCATTTATGCCAAATGTAATGTTACATATATATAGAGAAATATTATTAACTTGTATCATATAAGACTTCAGTGTAAACCTATAATAAGACTACTGGGTACAATAAACTATGAAACTGAAGAGTTGGAAGCCTACTTGAAAATTTCTGAATAAAGAGGTAGCATGAACTTTTAATAATACAGTTAGACTGATAAAAGCCCATAAAACATCCCAAAGTAATAGGCAGATAAACCAAATGTTAAGATGTATAGAGAAGCATATGACCAACCAGGCCACTAGAATCATCAGATGAAAAGAATACATAAGTATACCATAACAGGCTATCTGAATTGGAAGTCAGGAGAGTTATATCGATCATAAATAGCAGTTAGTAAGAGATAATGAAGAAGACATTGCTATAATAGATACTGGGGTTTTAGTAAAGTTTACAATAGTAGAAATAGTATAATATAGTAGTTAAACAAGTAATCCCTATGATTGCAAGTATTAGATACTATAGCATATTGTATAAAACTAAATTAGCTATATGTAAGACATAGAAGATTTAAGTTTTCTGTCAAGAATAAACTAGTCCTAAGGGTCTCAAAAACATCAAGTACTTTGAATGGGTGTAGCTCAGAAGATGTCTTTGTAATCACAAGTCAGATTATATATGCAGAAAGTTTAAATAGACAAGACCCATAGTTGGCTTGCAGATATGGCACCTAGTATAGAACTTTTTTTTTTTTTGAATTTCCCACTACTTGGTTGCTAGTAGGCCACAGCTGGTGGCTGTTTTATTAGTTCATATTTCAAGTTCACGGGACCTTCTATCAGGACCCCATCTACATTTTTACATTGTTTGTGTACATTTACAGTACTATCTATATACTAATTTTTGTGTTCCTATTACCCCAGAATTTCATTAGGATTATTCCTAATCGGGGATTCCTTTGTTCTATTATTATCCTCAGCCTCCTAATCATCGCAGCCTTCTTATATCAGGTCCGTTACCATTTAAGGATCTGGGTACTGAAGATCTTCCTATTTTTATAATATGCTATCTGGTGTGGTTAATCCATAATTGTAGTTCTAACACAGTTTATGTCCCTCGTTGGACTTGAACTGGCAACCTTGTGATTAGTGACCTGGGAGCGTAACCACTTTGCTATTGACCCACAGGTCTAGTATAGAACTTGTATAGTAATGTATAGGCAGACTACTTAAATTAGGCACCAAAAGTGCATATGTGGCTAGTTGTAACCTTCTATGTATAGAAGCCCTTAAAGGCATCTGTGTCCAAATACTTGAATAAAAAAATTGATCCCCAAAAGCATGAACTTTAACATTAAAAAAAAAAGAAATAACTAGTATTGCTTAGCTCACAAGGCAACATCTTACAATTTGGTATTTAGTCAATTGCTCTATAATAATCATAATACAACAATAATTTTACAAGAAAATAGCAATAATGATTATGATAATGAAAAGTCAGATCCAGAAATTAATAATAATTCTGATTTAAAAAAATCTTATTTATATGATTTTAATTCAAATAGCTTAAAATATTTTACATATAATTTAAATACCAGTCATAGTAGTTTTGATCAGAATAGCCTTATTTCAGAAAGTTTTGGTTTATTTTAGAAAACAATTCAAAAATAATAATTGTATCAGATGATTATAATAATTATAATGATCATAATAATTATAATAATTATAATTATGATTATGATATTTACAATCATGATATTTACAATTACAGAGAGTCAGATCCAGAAATTAATAATAATTTTGATTTGAAAGAATCTAATTCATATTGCTCTAATTCAAATAGTTTGGAATATTTTATATATAATTTAAATACTAGTAATAGTAATTTTAATCGAAATAATCTTAATTCAGAAAGTTCTGGATTTATTACAGAAAACAATTCAAAAATGATAATTGTGCCAAATGATTACAGAAAACAATTCAAAAATGATAATTGTGCCAAATGATTACAATAATGATTATGATAATTATACTAATTACAATCATAATAATTATAATTATAATAATTACAATTACAATAATTATAAATATGATAATTATGATCCTAGTAATTACAGTTATAGTAATTATGATTATGATAATTACAATAATCAGAAAATTATTGAAATTAGCAATATAGAGTCAAATAAACATTATATATACCAAGAAAATGAAAAATGACAAGAGAAAAGAGATTATACCTACCAAAAAAATGGAAATTAATAAGAAGAATTATTGAATCTTAGAAAATAATTAGAAATAATAATATAATTATTTTATTTTTATAAATAATCATAATTTTTTGATTTGTTACAAGTACAGAAAATTCTTTATATATATATATATATATATTTTAGTTATAAATGCTATTACAGAACATTATGAATTTAACTTATTCAATACATCAAAAACATTATGAAGTTATTTGTAAAGAAACAATATTAAATATTAAAAAAACTGAAAGTTTATTAAAAGTACAATGAAAACAAAATATAAAACCAAAAGAAATCGATCATATGAATCAGGTGAATTCATAAAAATCTATATTTCAGATATAGAAAAATTAAAAATAGATCAAAGATCATTATCATGTAAAGTTCTTCAAAAAAAACTGAATCAAGTTTCTTACCAAATTGTTTGCAAATTTGGAATAATTGACTGATAGTACTCTGCAAATGAACTTGAACCACTGGATACTTCTGATTATTCAGATCTTGATATTGTCTCTTTAAATAATATACTTTTATTGAAACAGGTGGATGCTAAGCAAAATATTATATATCTAATTCATAATATTCAGAAATATTAAACTCATAATGTTCAACACCCAAGTCATACTATGCAAGAATGTTCAACTTAAGAACACCCAACACAAGAATGCTTAACTCAAGAATATCCAACACAAGAATGCTCAACTGAAAAATGTTTAGCTTATATATTTCCAAAGTAAGCAAATAAAAAAAAATTTGAATTTTAATTAAAATTTTACTAATATAATTTGAATAAAATAACAGTGCAAATAATGATAGTTCAAGCCAAAAATCCTATCCAGATTCTTGCAATTGCTGAAAAATGAATTGCAGTAATAAATCATGCTCTTGTAGAAGAAAATTCATTATATTCAAGATGCTGTGGATGTGTTTTATGTGAACAATGCAAAAATTTTTAGTTTTATTGATTTTAATATATCTCACATAAATTTGAATATTTTCAGCTAAATGTACATCAAATTAGCCTTTAAATATTTATTTTAAATAAATGCTTTTTTTAATTTGCAAATTTTATACTGATTGAAAAATATTGTATATTATTTTTTAATTGAAAAATGACATGTGTCAATTAATAATTAACAGAATTTTAAAATGATGCATAATATATATAATCCTAAAAGTATAGTTTAAAATAATAGTTATTAGATTTAATATTATTAATAAGCTTTTAATTTATTTTATAAAATATAATGTATCAAAAGTGATAATATGAACTACAGTTATCCTTTCATATAATCACACAGTTGGACACATAGTAATTTTTTTAAAAAATGTGCTTATAAAGGAGTTGTGCTTATATGAAGGA